GCATTAATATTTAAAGAGTTATGGACGAAGAACGACAAAACAGTTTTTTGTAAATTACTCGTTAACTATTGGCGCTAGCGAAGAATTTTTACATGGAAATTGTAGATCTCGTCGTCCTCTACAAGAAAGGTCGTATGCAATTTTTCCGTATGTCCAACGGTTTGTGAGTTATTGGTCAAAAACGAAAATTTGGAAGAAATTGAAGGGGTACCCCTTGGAAAAATCTCGGAAAAATCGAAAATTTTTTGTTGTTGTTTATTATTAGCATTGTTCTTCCAACGTCTGATTTCTTTTTAAAAAATGGGTTTCTAAAGTGCATAAACTTTTGGGATCGACTGTATAGACAATACACCTTTAAATCTCTCGGTTGACGCGAGTACGTAGAGCCAAAAATTGTACAGGAATGCAAAGACCGTTGGATAAAATAATTTCTCATCGGAACGCAAAATTAATTAACCGCACGACTATTCGCGTGTGGAGCCGAAAATTATACAAGAATGCGAAAACTGTCGGATAAAATAATTTCTCATCGGGACGCAGAAATTAATTAAACCCACGACTATTCATGACAAAACCGTTCGAAATCGGAAGCAACGATTTTAGGCAGAAAGCTTGAATCGCAGAGGATTTACTCATTGTCTTATCGAAACTTGGCGACAATGCATAAGATCGTTTAACAGTAATTGTGCAATAATAGCGGAGCGACAAAGGGCAAGGAGAGGTTCGCTCTACAAGGGTAGCGTTCATCGAACAAACTCCTTCAGTAGTTCTCCAACTTCCCTGAAAACGGTGTCATCGATTGCCCGGAGAATTAAGGATAATTCTCTTTGTCGCCAACTACCAACGTCTACCACGTCTTCTGCGACTAACCGTTTACGGTTAAAATCGATTCGCGTGCACAAATGGTATGAATCGATCGCCAATTAAAAGATCGAGCAACGTATTTCAGATTTCATGATTAGACCGCTGAACGTCATACAATTTTCTGATTTCATTACAGACGTCCTTCACACGTCCAGAGTAATTTTGTCTCTTCGATATTTCGTTTCATAAAAAAGCTGAACAGAGACTTCGTGAAAGGACACTCGAGGTACTGTAAGAAGTAACGAGTTTAGCATCGAGGGGCAGCAAATCGACCTTGGCACGGTTAAACGGTGATTTTTGCCAGTGACATCTTAATGATCCCCTCGACCTCGTTCATTGCACACGTAACCCGCTTCCTTTTTCCGATTCGAGTGTCTTCCGTGACGCCGTCCGTTTATAAATCAAACTGGGACAGCCGCGCTGCATAAGACAGTTTCAGGACTCCGTTTGAGGGTTCGTTAGACGATCTAATCGGAAAAACTGTCACGACCCGAATGAATTATAAAGCGAGTCAAACTTATGACGTCTTATCAGTTAGTCAAAGCGTATTACAAATTTCCTTCGAGGTGCCTGTTTCAAATGGGTCACAAATAAATGAACGAACCGGATCAATAATGAATGCTGTTTATCACGTCATGTACTAAAAAAATCTATTATCATTGATTCTAAAAGAAATTCAAACACGACACGATTCATTTGATATCAGAATTTTGAAAAATCTCGATATTAGATATCATATGAATATTCTTTGAAATTATATGAAAGGCAACTTTCGCAATACAGGTATTAAATTCTATCCCACCGTTATTGAAAGATCGTATGGCGACACAAGAGAATCATCATCATAGTCAGATTACAAGAGACCCAGCGTTAATCACCGTCTATGAGACGTCCCACTTTTTCATCTCATTAATATCCACCTAGCGAAATTATCACGTTCCCTCGGAAAGAAACACGGCACCACCTCGTCTACTTTCGTCCTTTTCATTAAACCATTATTACACGAGATGCGAGTGGACTTCAAATAATGTCCGGCACAATATTTTTATAAAACGTCAAACTCAAGATCTCGTAGAATGTTGAATATAAAGTGAAATAAAATTCGTCTCGCATTTACAACGAACGGTCTGAATGGAAGTTACGTATAAGTCGCGTTTCAATTACAAATTCTTTGATCAATGCTTAGTAACTGGACGGGCCATGGTAAGCTTCTTAGGGAGGTGTTCCGGGTGTTTCATCAACAACGTGGGTAATTTCATTAGGAGTTGAGTATCAGGGTAAAATCAGACACCTGATGAAGTTGACCGTGGCGTCGGTACAACATGGAGCAAAGCCTCAGCTGATATTAAACACAGTGACTTCTTTATTTAAATTAAAAAATCTTTTCCCATGTTTCATAAATAGTGCGAATTTTTATGACCCTTTGTTTTCAGATAATTAAGTCGTTTAGGATTTTAATCATTTCGGGTTTGTAGGCTTTGTCCGTTAGAGCCTAGGGCCTAGGGGATATCGTTAGCAGCGTCGTACCTGCTCTCCCCCTTTGCCCCGCGTAGAGTTGTAGGTTTTTCAATCGCGAGGAACCGTTTCGCGACGACGTATAAATACGTGCGAATATAGAAAGGACAGAGAGTCGGTAATAAGTGCGCATTCGATACACATCGGCGAACTTACTTACGAGACGAGATCCAAGAGAATAAAAGTGGATCGATTATAACCAGTGTTAATTAGTGAAATATCCTGACTCATTCCATCTCACATACATTTAAAGACACTTGCATCCTACAGGTTATAATTAAATTCGTCTCACTGAATTCACGTGGTCTCAATGGTCGGACGTATAATATTGTACTTCGGAATGCAAGAGGTAAATGATGCAGTGACTAGTGAACAAATCAGAATAGATATGACCCTATAAATATGAATACTAGTAGATAAATCACGTGTCGATCTCCGTTATTGGCGATCGATTCAGTTTGCGGAACGGGATAACCGGTTGGATGGGTTCGCGGTCGTGTTACGTGGTCCACGTCGTCGACCGCGAAACGAGTACACGCGTGCCCCTAAATGAGTTTGACGGCCTGGCACCTAGAAACGCGTCGCGTCGCGTTTACACGGACGTGAACAGCGGTTCAGCCGAGCTCCGGACAAACACGGTAGATGCGGGATCCCGTCCGCCCTCCCGCCCTTTCACGGTAGAGGTTCGCTCGATTGAATCTTCGGGGAGGAAAATGAAGCGACGTGGCACCGGTCGCGAGGCAAATTAAGCATATGAGGGTATACGAACCGCGCCAGGAAATTAGTTTATTATCGGTCGACGTCGTGGGCTTCGCGTCGGTTGAAACCCGGGCTTGTCGCGATGACAGCCGAGTCAGAGAGAGAATCGAATTTCGCGGAGTTTGCTATCTGTTGTCTAGAATCGTACAAATGAATGCACCTGAATAAGAGGCAAATTTCACACGTAATTCGATCTGAACGGAGATTTTGATCGAGCGTGAAAAGAAAAATTTCAATGACTTTATTTCAAGACGTGGGCAAAGAGTCGACTTGAATGAAACGCGGACTTTCGTAAACACTTTTAGTGCACGGACTTTGATCGTTCTTGACACTTCGCCGATTGACCCGGCGTCGCGCGACGCGTATGATTCAGTATCCCTTCAAGCATCGATCGAGATTAATTCAGTTCCGGAACTCGATCCAAATCGGACGCTTGGTCACCGACAGGCTCGTAAATCGCGAGAAATCGATTTTTCGAGCTCCGTTCAAATGCAGTTGACCCGACCCCGAGATGACAATTTAAATACGAAGAGAAAATGTTCGATAAAACTGTGCGAATAAACTAATAACGTCCTATACTTGAAATTCTACGATTCTAAATATTACAGATGTTTCTATTCGGACGGCGTCGGGAAAGGTAATACTGGGAGAGGAACAGGAAAAAAGGAAACGCGAGTTTCATTCGAAAAACGTGTTCCAAAAATGCAGCTGCCATAAAAAATGTCAGAGCAAGCGATGCAAAAATGTGGAATTAAAATTCTGGGAATCGGAACATCGGTGCTGCTGCTGCTGCTGCTGCTGCTGCTGCTGCGTAATGCGTCGAATTCGGAAAGGGAGCCAGTGTCGCGCTCGCGCATCCGTGAATTCGTTCGCATGCCTCCCTCCGCTCGCGCCTCCACCCGCCGGCGTTGATACAACGGTGCAAAGATTAGAAGCGGTTCGTAAAACGCTTTGCGCGAATGCGTTTCGGTAATCAGGTTTCGATTTGCCACACGAGCTTCGATCCATTGAACGAAAACGATTAGGCGGTGCAACCACGCGTTTGTTACGCGCCATAAAATTATTTTCTACTCTCGTCGGTGAGCGAGCGATCTGGTAGTAGCACACAAACAACGACACTCGACGGTGTGCGAGTTTAGATTCGAAGCTGGGAACACGAGTCGAAGTTGGCGGTGGATAAATTTAAATGATTCCGGCTGGAGTGGGCGAGAAAGTCGGCGGTAAGGATCAAAATAGTGGACAGTCGTGTTAGAGCAATTCCGCGTTCCGATCCTGATTCGCGGTTCCGGCGGTTTCTCGAGACTCTGAACGCGAGGCATTATCTCCCTCGGGCCGAGACGCGCTGCTAACTTTCTTGCGAAATTTTCTTACCGCCGCCGTCGGAATACTAAAACGCCAATTAAGATTTCGCGGGAGATACCTTTCTCGTTAAAGTACGTTGGTCATCTAGCGACAGGTGTGAATTCGTATAGAACATAACAGATTCAGATTTCATTGATTAAGCTTGCAGGCTGGACCAAAATTTGACTGACAGATCTTTCCACAGATCATAAAAACGATGTTTCAGATTGAAATTACATTCGCATAATTCGATGTCCTCAGTACGCTCGATGAATTTCGAGGATTGTCGATTAACCAATTAGTTCTAAAGACGATAAATATTTGCGTCGGAGTGACAACGTTTTGGTCGTCGGCTGCTAGCAATTACCCAGCAATATTTGCATAGCTTTGCAATGGCAAAGGCGAGCGACAGCCTCGTTCCTCTTTCAGCCGTCCGTAATTTTCAGTAGAAATTATAGGAAAACAAACGCCGGTTGCGTCGAAATCCAATTACCACGTGTCTCACCCCACGCTATCCACCTTTTCAGGTTCGTCCATAAATTGTCTCACGTTTCCCTTATATAAAATTGTCGCATCGTTCATGAGAAACGAGAAGTCTATCCGAATAATCCTGATCGATCTCGAGACCGTAAATGAGAAATACCGGCGTCGCGACGACCGCGCGACGTTCCTTTTTAATAACGAATCGGAATCGTGGAATTCGTCCCAGTATGGGCATCATTTCTAAATCGATCCCGGCAATTGCATTCCGATTGGAATTGCCGGAGCGTCGCGCATACCCGAGCCGACTCCCGGGACGGGTCCCGCGAGGTTCTCAGAAATTTTTGAATATAATCGTCGCGTAATCGACGGATCTCGAGCGCGTCGAGCGCTAATTGCTCCGTAATCTGCGTAGCCCGGCATCCGCGCATACTCTTGTAAATTAATTAAGACAAGACGTTCCCCAACTCCGCTCTTCATCCCGCGCTACGTCATTTGTCGTATATCTTCCTGTCGCCACTTTCATTTTTTCTCCACTTCCAACTGCTACAATTTGTTTGCCTTCTCTCGTATAATCTCCCAGTTACTCACGTTCTTATCTTCAAACAACTTTTCTAATGATCTCGCAAACTTCTCTTCCTTCAGACTTTTTTAAACCCTTTACACTCTCACAATTCTATCGCCTTGTAGTTTCTCGCTCTCTTCTCATTTCTTAATAAACCTCGAGTTCTTCAATCTAACTCCCGTACATCTTCAATTTCACATTTCCAGATGAAATAACCACATTTTTCTGAAACGGACGATGTACCCGCGCTCCGCTCGTTTATTATTCAGTAAACAATCCCACGTATCAATCCAACGAGTCGTTTCGCCGTTCTCAATTGTTTCCTCCTTTCCCAGCGCGCTCTTTATCGCGTCCGTCGCGTCGGTCCTAGCCTCCCGCAACTGGGACAGAATTTATGGGCAAAGTTCTCCGCGCACGTAGCTCGCTCGCCTCTCGAAATAACGATACAGTCCACGTTCGAATATTCTCGCCCGCCGCTCGATACTCCGGCCCTCGGAGAAATATCTTCCTTTTTGCTTCCACCGGTCACTGTATGCTGATCCACTTCGACATCGCGAAACTTCCGACGGTATTTCTCACGGGACACCACGCGACGGCCCGATGTCGTTGGTCAGCCGCGAACTTTCGTGGACACCTTCAGGTTCGCTTCGTCACGTACTCGCAAATACAACGCGTTTCGCGATCTCTATATTTTGTTCGTTCCACGAAAATGAAATTACAAGGGACTTTAATTGATCTAACGGAGTGCGCACTTGGACGGAATAAATTTCGACCCCATAGAACGCGGACAAAGAAACGTCAATGGAGAGAAGCGTTCGTACCGCTGTGGATTTTCAATTAAAATTTCATTCCGTTGCGGAAAGGAGCGAAATGGACGGACGAAAAAATGAATTACGGCGGTCGCGCTGTGTGGGCTCGCGGACAAAGGTGCAAAAAATCGAGCGAAATCCACGGCGAAGTCGCTATATGGAAGGATTAACCAATCCTCTAATCGAATACCGAAGGTCAGGGTAAATAGGCGAGAGGCAGACGAGGTAAGAACTGTAGAAAGTAATCAACGAAATGAAAAAGCGGTGTCCGTGGAATAATGTTCATTGGGAAGCGGAACCGAGTAACGAAACCGTTAATGTCATGACCAAAACAGAACCGAATTTTCTGTTCATCAAATTGAGGTATGACGATTAGAAAAAAAAGCACTGTGAAAACTTGTCTCACAAATTTACACGAAGAACAGTGAATACCGAAAGATTCTCTTACTAATATTTTTCTTCACGTCTAATTTGTATCTAAGAAGGAACGACATGTTGTTTTTTTACTTTCCTATGCGGAATTTATCTGATTTTTCGCATTCTAAATTGCGCGAACCCTCTGCGGAGCAACGCTAATGTACAATTAGAAGGAAAATTAATTACAAGGCGGCGGCGGGTAACGTAATTTGCAGCGAGTCCTAAAATCCGTAATTAACAGCGGTGTTTCCGGCCAATATGGACCGGAATCGTTTATAACGCGTGCACGGTAACCTCCAGAGATGGTAACTCAGCCGTTAAGCCTGGAGCCGTGTCCGACTGGAGGCTCCTGTCCTGTCTCTTTATCACCGGCAACCCATGGGCATAATTTTCCGACAGTATCTATCTCGAGTACGACGAGCCGGAAGCCGGTAATTTCGTTGGTCACGGCTTAATCTGTGCATCGATTCTCGAGGAACCTGCATGCACGAGTTCTAGTTCCAAGATCGAACGCCATTACCAATAAATACTCGATCGATAAAATGCAGGTTTCGAAGACAGCAGAAAATAAAAAACAGCCACTCAAATATGTGAACTGTTTTAACTCTTTGTACTCGAGCGGCGCCGCTACGGCACGAAAACTAATTGCAAACTGTAATATTTAACAG